GCACAATTTCCAGGTATGTCATATATAGGAAACTTCAAGCCTTCAAGGTTAAACCAAGAGATCCTAGGATAGGTAGTAACAAATCAGGCCCTTACCTTTGTTACTTTTAGCTGTTGAGGTCGGTGTGCTGTTTACGTCCTGCCCCCTTTCTTGACAAAGGAACTGAAGGGCTGATAAGAACCAACTCTGCAGGTGCTACGTCCAAAAGTGATGGCTGTCCCTGATTAATGGTTGTGATGTAGTGGTTTAGGTGCTTATCCTTCTTCAAACTGCAAGTGTCTGATAAGAACTGTGAAATCAGAGTCCACATGCAATGAGTTGACAGCTGTTAATCCGAACTGCATTTTTCAGATCTGTGTGTTCACAGTGATCCCTGGCACACTGGGGAAGGAGGAAGGGAGAATGCACACAACTGCTTAAAAGCAGTGCAGTGTTTGTAATGCCTTGAGTGGTCAGTTACCATAGGGATGATTTTTGTCCTGGAATGTGTCAATTGTGTTTTTAAGAAATTCAGAGCAGCAAAATCTTTTTGTTTAATGATTGCTTTGTTAGCTCTAGTACTAAAATGGAAAGAAATGTGCATACATATTATGAATAAAAGTAAAATTCCAGTACAAAAATTTTTCGCAGCTTTTGTATTCACAGTGCTTTTGTTCACAAAATGAAATTCTTTCAGTTCTTTTTGCATCAGTGAATTCTTAATATTTATTGTTTACTTGCTAGACATTTTCAGGTATATAATATGGCTTTTAAAGAAAGCATGGGACACGCATTCCTCATTTGTGTGGGCTGTATTGGCTTGTCAAAAATAGTAGAATTTAATAAGGAGAGATTCTTCCAGTTCCCACAGCACCAGTAAATTCAGTGTTTTTAGAATTACCTTGGTAGTGTATATATCAAAATGCACCTGTGATTGCTTCTTCCTATTCTTCCCAAGGGCAAGAAGTTCAGTTACTGATCATGACAGTTTTTTTATTATTTAGGAAACACATTTGGTGCAGTGGTAGGTCTGGCTTTATTTTCAGATTAGATAGCATTGCCATAGTAAGAGAAGACTTAATTAATGTCTTCTACCTTGTTCTTTATTTTCAGTAGGATTTCCTGGTGGACAAGCACCATCCCCAATGCCTGGTCCGGTATGTGCTGTATTCTCTTCTATAATCAATCTTATGTGGCGCCTGTAGTTTTAATGTTTTTACAGCTGGTTTCCAACAGTTTGCAGTGTGTTCTGCATCAGGAGTTTCCTTCTACCCTCAGAGTACCAACTGAACAAGTTCATAACCCTGTATCTGTGTACTCTTGCTCATCGAGATCTTCATCCCATACAACTGGGTACAAGCAAGGCTTTGGCACTAGTGGGCCAAAGCTTTTCAACATAACCAAATGTCACTCTGGTTCTGTGTTAGATGAAGAAATGGAGAACTAATGGACAACTCCTTCTGAAGTACTGATTCCAGTGTTATGGGTTTAATTTGAATTTATATTGTGCAGGATATCTAGTTACATGTGACTCTTATTCTCAGCCTGCAGCGATGGTTCAGGGTACCCAGGGCACAATTCAAGCTGCTCCAAACTTTGATGCTGGAAGGGATGCAGAAATTCTACGCAAAGCTATGAAGGGTTTTGGTAAGTAAGCAACAGAAGCTTTAATTTCTATTGAGCTAAATTCTTAATGCCATTTTGTTACTTTCTTCAATTTTTATTTAACTATACATTTTCCCCCCAGCCTTTTCAAAAGTCACACTTTCAAAATGGCTTGGGCTATTTAGTGGATGAAGTTACATAGAAAAATTAGTGGGCGTAAATGGTAATCACTTACTATGTAACTATGCCCAAATGTAACGGTATAAAATGCACAGTATTGGAGAGACTGTTTTGCATTCTTACATGGCATTGCCCTTCTGTTTCCAAGGAACTGATGAGCAGGCCATCATAGACGTTGTTGCTAACCGCTCCAATGATCAAAGGCAAAAAATCAAGGCAGCTTTCAAGACAATGTATGGCAAGGTATGTTCACTAATTATTTGAACTGGTAAACAAAACCGAACTTTCAGCAACTGCCTGGTTGCATTTTAGTCCTGAGGAGTGATTTAGGCATTTTTAACATGCACTTCTTTTGGTCATAATCCTTGAGTATTGGGGAACATCTGGTATTTGACATAGTGTTGTCCTGATACCTGGCAGAAGCAGGGGTGGAGAAAGGTTGGAGGCTGTCTCTGTCTCTGACTACACAAGAAGCTTCTCTGCGTCTCTAATGCTTGACAGACAGAAAATTATCAAGCTTAAACTGCCTCTGTATTAGTATCTGAAACTACTGAGATTTTTATGCACACACACAAGCATTGAAATCTGTTTTTTCCTAAGAAACAGAGGATTGGATAGTCAATGAAAGTCCAGGTTAATTTAATTTCTTCCCTCTGTCCAAAACTCTGACAGCTCAGCTCTTCTCCATTATCTCCTCGCTAATTAAGACCTAATCAGGTCCTGAAAAATGGCACAACTATAAAATTTCACTTTAAATTGCAAAAATGACAGAGTTCTTCTTAAGAAATAAAACAAAGCTTTACAGGAAAACCAGCACAAAGGCAGAAATCAGTAATGAAAGTAAGTTCTAGTTTGATCTTTTCTTAGTACATAAGCTATCTGCTTAACACTCTCCAAACCCGTTTTCTGTTTATAATTTAACAGGATTTAATTAAAGATCTGAAGTCTGAGTTAAGTGGCAATGTGGAAGAATTGATTTTAGCGCTCTTCATGCCTAGTACCTACTATGATGCCTGGAGCTTACGTCATGCAATGAAGGTATGGTATTCCTCAGCAGGAAATAGTTTTAAACTATTCTAAAATACTCATCTAAGAAGAGCTGGTCCCAGCATTGTTGAAAAATCTTGAGATTACAGGGCTTAAAATTCTTTACTGCTGCATCGCTGAGTTCCAGACAATTTCTGCCAGTTAGCCAGTTCAGGGCAGCTGTCCCTCCAGAAAAGCATGAAATGCTGCAGGACAACCTTGTTCTCTGCCACTTGGGCATAATTTTTACTAGAGCCTAGAAAGGGCCAGGGTGCTGTTAAAGTCATAACCACTGTTTAGAGTGAAGGTACGTACCTCTCCTGACTAGGAGCAAACCATTGTTACTGATAGGTGGGTTTGGATTATCTTTTTTTTTTTTTTTTTTTTTCCCAAAAGACAATGAAAAAATAATTTCTTAAGGTCAGATGATGCATATATCTGTTCAAGTACTAAGACAGCATTAGAGATTAGGTGAGCTACTTGGGTCAAACTTTTAACTCAGGTAAACTGGTACATACAGTTTACCAGAATTTCTTGCTGGTGTGAGCTGTGGCAGCTCACAGGTGGCTGGTAGTGGAAACGTGTAACTCAACTGAGTTTGAATGGAGATCTTCTAAAGAATGTGGAGCTTAAATTAAGAACTGCCTTTAATGGAGTGAACAGCCACTCAACCATTTAAAAAAAATTGTAATGTAACATTACCTAGAAGCCTCACATAGATCCACTCTCCTATCTAGTCCTTGCCTGAACTGAGATGACCATACCATCTCACTGTACACAGAAATGTCAGTTAATTTTTATTCTGGGGAGAGGGAAGCATCTGTGAAAAGTTCCGTGTTGAGGAAGCAGCCACATTTGGTATGGGGAACACAACTGTATGGTGACCAAAACAGAATTTGCATGTGTATCTTTGGCTTTACTCATTATCCTAAGGCTCTACCTTCCTTCAGTAAGTTTACAGATTAAGGTTGTCAAAGAATTTTCTTCCTAAACCATTTTCCAGTTACTTTGTCTGATGTTACTGATGTGTAGTTTTGGGGTGTGTTTTTGAACTGGTACAGAATGGCATGTTTGAGGAATCTTCATTCCATTTTAAGTATAAAGAAGACTGGTCCTTTCACACTGCAAGGATACTGTTCTTAAAATATAGATTGTATTAAGTTTTGAAATAACAGATGACTGCCTTATTTCACAGTCGAAGAAAAGTGCATAGTTAGTGTTCTGCAGTTATGCCTCTGTTTTCTCTGCCTACAGGGAGCAGGCACTCAGGAGAGTGTGCTGATTGAGATCCTTTGCACAAGGACAAACCAGGAAATTCGAGATATAGTGAACTGCTATAAATCAGAATTTGGAAGGGACATCGAACAAGACATCAGAGCAGACACTTCAGGACACTTTGAGCGACTGCTTATATCTATGTGCCAAGTGAGCTTTAATTTTTTTAAAATTTTTTTTTTAGTAAGATAACAGTGTACAGTCTGGTGTGTGTAGTCATTATGGCTCCATAAATAGCCTGTGTATGCTTAGCAAAAGCCAGGTTTTTAAGAAATTAGCCCTGGTTCATTAATTTATTCTCTAAGATATGGCACTTCAGTCCCTCCTCAAGAGATGCTTCCTATCTACAAATCTATGATGAATTGTGTGACCTAATTTAGCACTCTAGATTAATTTCAGAGAACTTATGTATAAATATTGTGCAGATGCAACTGAGTGGTTCTCTAAATTAGTGGTCCACACTGCTGTTAAAGCAAAATGCTTTTTATTTTTGCATACATTAACAAAATAGTTTGTGTGAATCTGATTGGATAACCTTTATGGTATGTAGAACACCTGTGAGAATCCCTGTGAACAAGCTCTAAGAGGTGCCACAGGGCAAAACTTACCTCCCAAGTTACACCACAGCCTGCCTTCCCTTCACACCATGAGAATTAGGGAGGTGCTGCTACTGAACTCAGGTGAACACTGGAGCTTGCTTATCTCATATCATTTACTGGGGCTCATTTTGTGTTGAAGAATAGGAACTTGTGGTTATCCATATTTAGGAATAAATATGTAACTAATGCAACTTTCCACAGTTCTCTGATCAATATGACTATTTCTGTTAGAATTACTATGGCACTTCTCTGCCTCATTGGCCTCTACCTTTGTGAGAGTTCAGCTATGCACTAGGTATTTGGATTTATAAGTCAAAATCCACAAGAAAGCAAATCTGGAGAAGCTCATGCTGCTAATTTTATTTTGATAAATCCAGCATTTTACAGTAACCAACAACCACATAATTTAAATAGTATATTAACCACTATAGATACAACAGTATTTGAGAGCATGTGTTCAAGCCTACTCAGCCAGTATATTTAGCAGTACTCATCCATGCACCGGGCAGCAAAAAACCAAAACAAGCACCAAAGCATGTAAAATGTCATGTAAGCCCTACTGACATAACTGCAGTAAGTACTTTCTGGAGACATTCTTACTTGGAATAAGCAACTTCTAAATAAAGTAGGAGACCTGAGATATTTCAGGTGTGCATATTCAGTAAGATAATTCATTAGTTTGTTTGGGAAGAGTCTTTGCAACTTGAAGCCTAGAAACAAACAAATCAAGAGAAAGCTTACATTATTAAATAAAATAGAGAATTAAGTACAGTATTTAATTAGAACTGTGAGATGGTTTGTAGAGGTGATGTTATCTGAGTCAGTATATCTAGAGTTTAAAGCATGCCCTACACATAGGGTTCTGAGCCACTTTTATATTTGTTTCCTATAAGGAGTATTAAACCAAAGAGAAGTTTTAAAGAAACTGCTATTTCTCTTTCTGCTTCAGGCTTGCAAGATACATGCTTGGGGTCTACACAGTTAAAGCATAGCCTTCTCTGCGAAATTTCATTTGAAATCTGTTGTCCTTGCTTTAAGGGTAATCGGGATGAGAATCAAACTGTGGATTATCAAAAAGCTCAAGAAGATGCTCAGCGTCTGTACCAAGCAGGTGAAGGAAAACTTGGGACTGATGAATCTTGCTTTAACATGGTTCTGGCAAGCAGAAGTTTTCCCCAGCTGAAAGCAACAGTTGAGGCATACTCCAGGGTAGGAGTTCTTCACTGATTTCAAATAAGCTTGGTCAATGTATTTTAAATTAAAGTTCCAGTTGTTACTGCATTTCATCATTCACATATTAATCTCATTTATTTGTAGATTGCTAATCGTGATTTATTAAGCAGCATTGACCGAGAGTTTTCTGGGAATGTGGAACGTGGTTTGAAAACCATTGGTAAGTGATATGTTCTTCCCTTCCCTTATCCTTTAAGAATTAAACCTTCTAAATGTAACCAAAGAAGAATCCAATTCAACACTTGCCATTATGGCAAACGATCACACAACCTGAGACTCTGCTATCACAAAAGTAACTTCAATTAGTCAAATTATTCATTTTACACTTAATTAAACAAGTCAGTTTGAAATAAGCAAAGGCCATATAGAAAGTACTTGTTACTTCTCTGGGAGGGCAGGTAACTGCCCGGACCCAGGGGTCACTGGTTAGTCCTTGTAGCTGTGTATTTCAGAGTTCTGCAGAATGAGTGATTCCCAGTGTAACAGAGCTGTGAGTCTGGGTGTGGGCACCTCAGCAGAGACAGCTGAGCCACCCATGAAGACGACCTCAGAACCAGCATGAACCTACATAAGACACAGTTCCCTTTCTACTCCTCTTCCCTACCACCATCTACCCCTAAAAAGCTCAGCTATTGCTAAGGAAAACCTCAGCAAAATAGAAGACCTGTTTTGAATTCACTTTTTGGTGCTGACTTGTTATAGTAAAGCAGTTTAACACAATTCATCACAATTAACTGACAGTGAGAATCAGTATTATTTAGTGGTAAATTTGAAGACACCAGTCCTATCAGTGCTTGCCAAAACGACAGCATTCCTGTAGCTGTAATGGATAAGGAAAAACTTCTCAGAGAATATTCTACTCAAGAGTTTAATGGGAAAAGTTCAGGCTTGAGAAAGAATAATGAGTGTGAATAATCTAACTGAAACAAGATCCATTCTGTAACTACTAGAGTGAGAACCTTCTACAGTTGTACTTTTCTTAGTGGATTCTAGCAGTGGAACACAAGTAAAATGCCTTATGTCCCAGTACCAGCTATCCAAGGAGAAGAACTGTTTTTGAATTACCTATTTGAGAATTAACATTTCAGACAGCTTTGAAAACACTTCTTGAGAAGTTAACTACTAAGTAACTCTAAGTTTTTGTGTGAAGGAATAACTCATTCGGTAATTTGAAAATAAGCTTAGCCCTATAAACAGGTCCTGAAATCTACAGTGACTGGCTCTTCACCCAGACCTACTTCTAGATGTCTACAGCAAAAATCCCCAGTTGATCCTGCCAGGTATCACTACACAGGATACAATACTGGAACTAATCCTAAAAATATACTTTGTTGCAGTGCAATGTGCTTTAAATCGCCCAGCCTTTTTTGCAGAAAGACTTTATCATTCTATGAGAGGAGCTGGCACAGATGATTCTACCCTCATCAGAATTGTGGTCACTCGCAGCGAGGTAAGAAACTTTCTCCTGCGTACAAGTCACCTGCAGCAGAAAGCCACCTACCCAAAACAGCTTGTCACTTAGTCCTCCTTTCACAGCTGTGAAATCATGTACTGCAATAAAGCTTTTACGAGGCTCACATTTAGATGAATCTGGTAATTAGTTTTAAAGCCAGCTTTCATGTAGTCATTTAATTAACTCTGCCTAGATAGTACTAACTTCTTGTTTTCCTTCTCAGCTGTGGTTGCTTGTCCATGTAGCAAGCAAGCACCTCCAGGTCAGAGGTTCAGCTGTTCAGTTAAGACAGCACAATGTTAACAAAGCATGGAACAACTGCTGGACTCTGCTTTGGGAGCTGCTCCTCTGTCCTGGGAGGGACCAGCTGGCTTGTACACTGCACGGGCCTAATCAGTTGCACATCTCACCCTTGGCATGTGTTCTCTAGTCCACAAGGGATGAGATGCAGGGTGACTGTCTAGCATTTAAATCATACACTGTGGTTGAGCTTTCTCTTTTTTTTCTTGTCTTTGCATAGATTGACCTTGTGCAAATTAAACAGATGTTCACACAGATGTATCAGAAGACTTTGGCTACAATGATAGCAAGTGATACAAGTGGCGATTACCGGCGGTTGCTGCTGGCAATTGTTGGGCAGTAGAAGAGGATTATCTGGTTTTTTGGTGGGTTGTTTTTTTTTTTTTGAAACAAACTGAAGGACATGAAACATGCTTTATGTAGACACTAACTATTCTTGTAAATGAATAATTTTAAACTTTGCATAATCAAGTATGCCTTCTTGATGATTCAATAAGCTTGTTGCACTTACAATGCCTTAACTTACAGCACATAATATTCTTTATTGTATAATAAAAGATATATCTTGTCTATTAGCCCCTAAGCCTTAGTCTTTTTGACCCTGACAAAACCGCCTCCCATCTACTGGACTCTTGCATGAGTAAACTATCTCAGCCAAATGAATCTCCAGCACTCAAGAAGTTCCCTGAAATACCTAAACTTTACTGCTGAGCTTACTGTGGATGACAAAAAAAGCCCGAGGCTGTGATGTGAGGCATTTTACACCCTCCTCCCCTTTTAATGTCTTTCTATCATAATGCTGAAAATCATGCAAATGCTCAGTTTGAGTCACAATATGCTGACAGTTTAGGGACCTTGGCAAAATCTGTCTGTACTCCCCTATTAAATTTCTTACATTAGTGGTTAGTTACCATTATGCTTAAGGCAGCAATGGAAAGGCGAACTCATCTTAGAACTGATTTTGAAGTCTCTCCTTGTAAAGGAGTGGGTTATACAGCAAATGGCTGAGCAGTGAAACAGCCTGTAGCTAAACGCTACCATGTGAGATCCAAACTGAAGGCAGCTGCGACCTGGATAATATAAATGACTATGTGGATGTTTTCAAAGGGTTTAAAGAGAACAACTTTGAACAGCATATTTGGGTTTTTGTAGAAAGCTACAGTGAATCTGTCTCTAACCATAAATTTAACAGAAGCTTCAAGTCCAGCAGCTGGTAGTGTGTTCCCTAACATTTCTAAGCAATGCTTTCACAAATAACAATTGTATTATAGGACACCCTCACACAAACAGCAAAACTCTATTTCTGGTATTTCCCGGACAAGAATCACTAGGGCTGGTGGAGCTGGTTCCAATACGGCAAACCCGCCACTCTGCACAGCATGTACATAGAGGTTTTTGCAAAACAACAACAGCTTATCAATTATACATACAAAAAAGGCTTAGGTATTTCACTTACATCAATGGTCTGCAACCTAAATCTGACTTTAGACTTTTTCTGATACTAAACTGAGAAATTCTGTTCAGCTTAAAATTAATTATTTCAAATATGAAATAGACAGAAGTTGATTTGGAGAGACTAAAGGACATTCTATTCTGCACTACTTTGTTCATCCTTGGTGCAAGTATTCAATGAGTAAGATATACATGTGTATGTATGTAAATATAGATATCTCTCAATAGCTTTCCAAGCTTCACTAAGATTCTCATAAGCTTTGGTTGTTGTTTCTTCGTTCTTGAGCAAACTTCCTTACAAGTGAAGCATCTTAACATTTAATAATTAAAGCATATTAGTGCATCTTTATCTTTTTATGTGACTGAAAAAATCCCCACCACTTCAGTTGTCATTCAAAGCAAAGTATCAATAAATCTGGCTTATACAGACTACCACAAGAAAATGAACAGATGAGCGGGTTCTATGTTCTGATAACAGTGCCCTGTTTTATGGCAAAAAGATTTTCATTACATGCTAGTAACAAAGAGTTGTTCAATCAGTAGCAAGAACTGGTTAATGATACAATTGTAGCAAAAAATAGGCAAGGAAAGAATGAACAGACACTGTCTATCCTGCCTCTGAAATAGCCCTAATTGTAACATGATGTAACATAATAGCCTCTATGTAACATAATGGTGTTTTCAGATCAAACATTAGAAAAAAACAAGCTCTTTATGACACTTCCTTTCAAAAGTGTTCAGAGTCACACCAGAAGAGACTTACCTTTTTCTAAGAGAAAAACAGCCCCAGTCCCAACCATTTGTCTTTTTGCAAGAGGCTAATTTTCATAATTCAAGAGATACCACTGGAGCAAATTTTCCATTTCATAATTGGGTTTAATAAGCTTTGAAAGGAGAGCTCTTGTTTCACACTGTAGTGCTCGGAGGTGAGGATGTGTTTGCCATTAAACTAGATACAGGTAGATTGTGAACTACGCTGCTCTTCCATGTTAGGATCAGCAAGTGCCAGCACAAGTTCCCCAACAGCACAAGTGTCTGCTTGAAAATAACCCCCCAAAATCTGACCCAGCACAGTCTGTACTTCTGCTCAGTGTCACCAACACACATTTGCACTCCTCAGAGCAGTGAGAGACCCCAGCCCACCTCTGAATACTCCTCACTGCCGCTGCCCTACAGATAAGAGCATCACAGATGCCACCCATCAGGTCAGGCAAGAAGTGACCCACACGGTGCCCACTGAGCCCAGGGCAGGGCAGGGAGGCACTGACCATTCCAGCTCAAACCACCAACCAGCCATGCCTCTCACAGCTTTTGCCACCTGTGTCCCTTGGCTGTCAAAGCTACTTCCAAGACTTCTCTGCTCCCTACCCAAGAACAGACTAAGAACATAGAGACGACTTCTTTTTTTTTCCCCTCCTTAAAGTGCTGAAAGCATAAAATGAGCAATGCAAACTACTTACAGTTTTCTGGGAGGAAGGATATAATTTCTTCTCCCAAACAATACAAGAATTAGAGACAGCTCCAGACTCCACCTTTCAGAAACACAGCAGCAAAAAAATGAGTGCCTACTTTCCAAACAACACCCACAGACACAATCCTGTAACCTGACTACTTGCCTAAAGGAGGCCAGGAGACACACAGCATGAGAAACGAGGCCAACAACTGCCCAAAAAATTTGTCTGTACTGCAGATCTGCCTTTGTATCTGGCAAGAGCTACTACAGATAATGGATACTGTGAGGGAATCCTTAAAGCAGCAAAATGGATACTGCAAGGGAATCCTCAGGGAAGCAAACATCATTGCAGCTGGGCACTTACTGCCACACAAGTATCAGAACCAATCCTCTCCAATTACAATGAAGTTTTTCCAAAGATTGTATTTTCTTCACATACACAACTCCAGCCAGTCAGATTACTCATCACAACCGAGATCTGAGTATCAAATAATGAAAAGTAATGTCTTGTGAGTTTGAGACATTTTCCACTACCGCTCAGAAGGAGAAAGGTACCAGCACCATGTTCATCATGTAAAATTTCAGTTGTACTTAGTAACAGGTTTTTGTTCTGCTCTAACAGGATATCATGTGCAGACTGCACAGCTCAGAGGTATGATATGTATGGGAGCACTTCATAAAAAAAGCCAAAAAACTTACCATTTTTAACTTGATCTTCTGCACTCAAACTGTGAGAAGAGTTTCCAATTAGAATGCATCTGCAATAAAGTAAAATCAAATATTAAAACTCCCTTAACAACAGTGTGTAACTTATTTTTACCTTTTATCTTTATTCTCATCCTGATCAGCAACTTGTCTTTTTTTAAAAAAAGAATATACCAAAAAGACTAATTAATGTACCTGTACTGACTGTCATGACAAACAGTTCTCCCCTTTGCCCAAAAAGCTGCCCTAACACACTTCAGTCGTGTAGAATGTTTAGTTCAAACCAACACACAAAATACAGCAATGCTTAAGAGCCTTTTAGAATTAACTAATCCTGCTCTGACAAGCTTGTACAAACCAACAGTGGATGTCTGGCTTAGCAGACACAAAGTATCTATGAGAGAGAACTCAAAAGCAAAAAAAAATGGAGCAGGAATACAATTTAAATTAAATAATGTTTATATTCAACTAGTTGTCTGCAAGCTAAATCTGACCTTTTATGCTATTTTTCAAATAAATATTGAAGACTGTATCTAAACAATTTTCAAGGTGAGACCTATATATGCCAAATAAAACCAATACACAGTGATAGGAGCCGCAGCCCATGCACAAAATTTATTGTGTGCTACTGTTTATAAAATACTTGAATAGTTCAGAACATGCATAAAATTTCCAACTTAGGGGTATGTACAGATTGTAGTTTATGGCAAACCAAGAAAAAAAAAAAGGGAGATGAACTCTAGTGACATAAGTTTCAAGTTGTGTTCCAGGGGATGAGAAAAACATGTAGCAAATGTCAAAATATATAACAAAGTACACTGGCAATCAGTACAGTCCATTATTTGTGAACAAATTAGCACAGGGCTTCAATTTTTATTTTAACCAAGCAGTCCTGTAGATACCAAAATACATGCAGTCTCAAGTTTACACTTTCACTAATGCCTTAGCAGCTGAACAGAGCAATTGCTTACGCGCTGCTTTGCTTAAACAAAAAGTATGTCCAATACAGTTTCAGTTTCCTTTACGGATTTAAAAATAATAAGAAGCTTTCAGCTATTCAGCCCAGTGATTATTAGCTATTTATGCAACCGTAATACTCACAATAAACTAAAAGTACCCATAACATCTAGGTAACCTATAGATGTACATCATAGGTCTATATATTAAATATTTGCAAAATGAAAACATGCATACACAAAATACAATGCCAAGCTTTACAGACTTGATATGAATCAAAACTTAATTAAACAATGTACAAAGTTCAATTAAAAGTACCTTAAAATTAACACTTCCTTTTTTTTTTTTTTAACTTTTATAATTAGTATATATAACTTTTTTTTTTTAAATTCAAGGTGGGGAAGAGTCTTGAAAAAGCTGGGCAAAAAAGTTTCTAAATTAAATATTTTTTTAAATCTGTGTTCAAGTAATAAACATTCCTACATAGAAATCTTCTGATAAGCTGTAACTAAAAAATACAGTGAATACAATATAGAATTAGCAACATCTAAGGAGTAAACCTGAGGTCAGCATTTTACAGAATGACCAACTGAGATTTTTTTTTGGCATTTTTTCTGTGTATTTAAAATACAGTTTTTGCAGCCTCAGATATTTTAAGACCATTCTAATCTATAATTTTAAAGACATTTCATGAAACCGATGTCCATTAATAAATAGTTAGCTCTTAGGGTTGTATTTGAAAGTCTGATTTAAAAAACAAACAAACAAACAAACTACCTCTACTGAAAGAAAAATCCCATTTGTAAACTTAAAAGTGTTGACAACGATAAGCATAAGATGCTAGTCTAGGTGTGCTTTAGTGAGAACAGCCCGATTCTTTCGCCAGATCTCTTCTGAAGCTCCAGCAGCCAGTGATGGACATTTGTGCACAGAGGTGAGGCACGCTCCCAGGAGGTTGGGTCACCGTGTAAGAGAGGGGCTGTTGTCTCAAAAGCATGATGGTCTCTCTTCAGTGGGATCAAGTCAGATGGTTTTTCACCTCGTGTTAAGTAGTCACTTCAAGTGATCCCCCTATTTCATTTGTTGTCACATCAAAAAGCAGTAATCTAGGAATTCTCAGGCAAGACATGAGTGAGTAAACCAGAAGCTGACGTGGTCACTGTGCATTGTTGTTGCCAGTTCCATTGTTTCCATTGGCATTTGTTGTGTTTATAGTATTAATACCATCTTGCTGAAGAGCATCTTTTCTTGGTGGCATTCTCTCATTGATCCTATCCAAACCTTTTGCTTCTTCAAAACTGCAGATTTTATGTTGCGGAGAGAATCCTCGTATTGCTTAACAAAATGCAAATTTGATATGTCAGTAATGGAAAAATAAGTTGAAAGCATATACTTTTTCTAACAAATGATGTTTAAAAAAGGGTAAGAAATCAGCCAAAGAAACTTATGGCTCTGCAACTGTATTACTAAAAGCTTCTCTAACCTGCTTTCCTGAAATGTTCACGGCAATCATGATTTTAGTTTGCTACAAAAAGAACAAAGTATGGCAAATATTCTGCAAGTAGGAATCAAGGGGTTTAAGCCCCCTTGATTGCATCTGCGTGTTCCTGGAGGGGCCAGCTATCAACGCCAACTGCTTTTGCTGCCCAGCACATTGGGCTTATCTTAACATCCCCCTTCTCTCTGGGGCAATGTCAGTAAGATCTAAGCAGCACAGCAAGTGCAGCGGAGGCAAAGCAGCAAAGGGTTACAAAAGTAGTAGCAGATTTAGATCCTGCACACGCACTGATGGCCTGATCCTGTAGTTTTCATGCAGGCAAAACTGCAGGATGTGGTTCACACTGTGCTACTAATCATGTGGATGATGGAAATGGACACAACCACAATCACCAAATTAGCACTGTGGTTCAACAATGGTATCATTTAAATACAAATGTATTTAAAATAAGTATAGAAAATAGGTATTATTTTGCTACTGATTATTTTAATGAATGAGGTCTGTAGTTGAATTTACACTCGAAAATGGCTGACCACATAGTAAGACAGAAGTCTTTGGGATGAAATAATTCTTTGGAGATTTAAATACAGCTTTCCACTCACAACAACAGGACCTCTTGCAGGTGTGTGTGAGAACAGAATATGGCACTTGTTTATATTTTTGGAGATCTGACTTCCTTAATTAAAAAAACAAAGAATAGAGTTATTAAATGGTGCTTTGCAACTAAATCTGAAAAACCCCGAAGGCAGCTCTCTCAACTGCTACGCTGTTTGTCATTCACTTCGTTGAATACTGACCACGAGGGAACTACAGTCTCTCTGAAAACACACTGTCTGAAGCTGAATACTCTGAACACTAAATAATTCGGTGGCATTTTGCTCAATACCACTAACAGAAGATGTATATAACATATATACAACTTATTTAGCACAGAAGCACTGATAATCCATGGAATTTAATAAGTCTTATACTGACAGTCTGGGATACTGGAAATAAATTTGATCAACAAATTATATTCAAAATCTATAGAAAAAACCCATATTTATACATCTTGCACTACCAGATGTGTCATGGAAAGTTAAAATCTCATGTTAAAAGCGATTAAATAGATTTTATGAGAAAAAGCATGCATAAACAACCCTCCTTCCACATATAACATCCCCTCCCCACAATCAAACAAAACCTTGCAGTTGAATGCAGAAAAAAACCACTAAACACTACCATTTTTAAGGACTTCAAGACAACACCACGTATCACAACATGCTATACAAAAACCTACTGCATATTCTGTAAAAAACAAATAAACAAAAAGAGATCAAAAACCCCCAAGAATTTCCCTAAAATATTAAAGATAATCATCATCCTAAAGCCAGAAATGAATGTTACATGTAAAAGGGATGAATCAATGCAGTTGATTCATCTCTGCTTGTGCAAGTTGAAAATAAAACACACCCACACAGAGTACTTTTGAATTCCCTCCCAGACACCACAGATCTCTGCCAAGGGCAAAGACTCTGATCATACCTTTTTCAGCCTCAATTGCCTCTACAGTGGCTGTACAGAAGTGAGCAGATGCATGCAAAATGAATGAGAAAGATGAAGAGTGTAATATCGCATAGCAGAAAAGGCAATGATCAATTTAATATAGTATGCTACGCCAGATTAGATTACAATTAGTTAAAATGACAATTAAGGGTTTGGGGGGGGTTGTTTTTAAGTGAAACTTCTCCTAAATTTTAACCAGTACAGGTTATTAACTAAAAGTCTAACAAAGTAACACTAATTAAATGATGCTATTAACTGCACATATCTGTAAGTTTTGGTTGTAAATTTTAGGGTTTTTTTTAGGAAACCATAGAAAATTTCAGCTGATGTTAAAGTTGTGGTATGGTTTAAAAAGTACTAAAAATCTATTTGAGATTGTTTCTGAAGATTAAAGTGCATTAGTGAGCTTCACTAAATTACCAGGAATGACCCTATAAAAATAAACTAGCAACATTCTAATAATAAGAAGTTAATTTTCTCTTTATCTTTAGCTCCCTTACGTTTAACCAGTACTTCAATTTCTCACCATATTTTAAGCTAAAATCGGCATCTCTGAGAACTGATCTATGAAATTTAAGCCATGAAAGACAAACCTAGTAAGTCATATTTACAAAGTTATGTAAATTGTTTAGTTGAATCAAAAACAAAGTCTACATCAGGAAGAGGTCCGGATTTAACATAATCTTGGTGGGTGAATTAATGTGGATATGAAAAAAATCTATCTTACTAGCTGCTTTTCAAACTAAATAACCAGGACATCTGCTGTAATTTCTTGTGAGTTCTTTCCTTATAGTTTTAGCTCTAGACATCAAGCTTAAACATGAGGTTATTGTTATTGCACCCTGAACTATAGCTAAGTTTCAGTAGGAGTAATAACTTTTTACCTCCCCTACTATTTGCCACGCCTCTAATACCGTAATTTCGGAAACATTAACAAAAAAAATAGCATATATAGTCGTAAACCTACTTGTGTAGTGCTTGATACATACTGTTAACAACAAAAATCATAACAGAGTATTCAAGCAAATGCTGGGGAAAATACCTATATAAGAAAATATAGCATTAGGTCAGAATAGAATTCTTTAAAGAGAATTAAGTTTATTACTTCTCATTTCCTATCCAACAAAACCCAGACACAACATTCCAATCACCTACACTATGCTACACTATGTTGTTAGGTATGAACTGCCTACACTATACTTCAAGCTCACTGTTGCTTAAGATTGTAATTTCCACTGAGATAGACCAAAAAAAAAATTGGATACTTGCATTAAGTGCTACTAAAATAATGTGGAATATTTAAGGGTAATGCAGCATTTTGACTTGCACATACCGCACTTCCCATGGAACAAAAAAAGAAGAAAAACCCCCCAAAACTCCTGCACTTAAATGTACAGAGACAAGGGTAATTCCAGAATTAAATCAAGAAGCCACTTGAATAGATGGTTATTTATGTTTACGTTAAGGAAAAGAAACTTTCTCAATTTGTAAAAATAAATTTAAGAATTATTTTAGAAAGTCACCAAATACATAATTTCATGCTATAATCAATTTGCCATACAAATACAAAACTGTGTAAAAAAACCACCTCTTTCCACCATTTCCTGTTACCTGTGAAGTCTTTGTTTTCAATCTTTTCCTGAAAAGATCATGAATACTGATTTATCTCTGCAAATTATGTAGCTTGGTCATAAATGTAAATTTCAAAATTTAGTCCTATTTCACTCTACTTTTAGAATTACTATTCCAAAAAGACCTTGGAATATACATCACAGTTAAGAAAAAGATAATTTTCAACTTGACATAAAAGAACAAACTGACTGGAAAATATAGGCACTTAAAAAACCCCACACTGTAAAGACTCAATTTGGAAAATAATTTTGCTGGATTCTCTTTTGCAAGTACATCTAAATTAAAACTATATTCTTTGTAATACTTGATAAATCTCAAACAAATACTAGATCCTATTAACAGGTAATTCTGAAGTCTTTGCTCTAAAAATTCTCGACTGAGAGTAAATTTTAAGCAACAGGTTTCAGTGGCATTTCCACCCTCAATTTCAGGTCTCCCCCTGCTTTACTTAAGGGATGAATCCAACAGAAAATCCTTGTCAGTTTTCAACATAAAACTAAAAAACTATCTTACTGCTCCCTGACTTAACAGCAGAGGCAGAAATGAAAGTTAAGTATTTGGGTAGTTCAACTGACTTCCATTGAAGTACTTGCAATTTTTAATTTAGGCTTGCATTTAATATGTTGCAGAATAAAGCTTTAAGTGTTTTGTAATTTTTAAAAGATGTTGACTCAATTTGGAAAATACTGAATTCAGTTCACAGAATAAGTCACTAGGAGATGTTACTTTAAATAACAGTACTTAAATATGGTCTTTAATATGTCAGCTACTACAATGCAAGCAATATAAAGAACATAAAAAATGAATCTAGATTAAAAAAATTTAGAAACATAAAAAGGTCATGAATTCCCAAAGTCTGTTTTTATCCTAGTACATTAAAGCTATCTAAAAGGAACTTATGATTAGTTTTTCAAAAATATATCCATATACTTATGAAAAAAAAAAATTCTCACTTTGACTTCTTCAATAGGCTGCAGGTTTGCACTTTTTTCCAAAATTATCTTTTTTAACTGACTTGTCTTTGTTTGACCTCTTCCCTACAGTTCCCAATTGCAATTCCCCCTCAGGCTACTCTGTTTTACAGTGAGAATCTGCTGAGGCACTGTCCTCACAGGAGTTGTGTGCTGGGCACTCTCCTCTGCAGTGTCAGTGCCAAGAGGCTCCATCCTCTGAGCAGGGCCAGCAGCTCACGGGGCAGCAGCTGGGCTGAACAAATCCCTGAAGGAATAGTGGCCTTTACTAAGATCTAGTGCAGAACACGGTACTGACATTAAGAACTGTAACAGGCGTGTATGCAGAAGTTGCACGTGCATTGCCTTGACAGTGACTTCCATCCGTGTGTATCTATTTGCCCTGATAAAAAATTTTCAGCCCAGCTCTCTAGAGAAATATAGATATATACTCCAATTTCTTATAACTTTCAAAGCTTTTTATAGATTTAATAGCAACCAGCACAGATAGTTTTTCTCAATGTGCCATTGAAAAATTAGCATTTCTAAGACTAAACCAGGAAAATCCATGGCATACTGGTCAATTCTGTGTATTTTTAAGCAAACAAAAGAACAGAATAAAAAAATTCCTTCAATTAATATTACATTCTATTATTTTTGCAAATCTAGACTAGTTTAAATAATTAATAGCATACTGATCAAGAAGATACTTCAAAGAGTAATTAAGTATTTGTAGTAAGAAATCCTGCTAAACTATCAGTGACCGTATTTTTGCCAATATAAATTCTCTGATATTATGATGGTTTAGAAAAGTATCGATTAGTGAAGCTTTATTTTATTTTTGGTTTACTTCTAGCTTTGCAATTGAGCATTATCATTTGAAAACTACGTTTCAAAGACTGAAACAATAACATGCGTATCAATAAAAAGAAATTACTTCAGTTTAAGAAGAACTAACAGCTGGCATGATTTAATTTGAACAATCAACATGACTAAAACAAATGAGGTATATTAATGTCGTGCATCCAGGAATATTGCCATCAAAAGTTCTAGTCAAGAAAAAACACACCCACAAAAATCCAGAATGCATTTTGCATACTTTCCAAATGTCCCACATTTTCAGTAATTGTAAAAAGTCATATGTTTTATGTTTAAAAAATTTTCTAGTCAGTTTGATCCTCTCTGATATTTGTAATGTAACATGGATAATAATCTGTTAAATGAGAGGAATGCAGACTCATTTTTTAAGCATAATAAAGTATCTTATTAAACAATGAAAATTAAAGCTAGAACATATGCTTTTGGAATAGTTGAATGGATTAGGAAACATACACCATTTCTTGTTATAGACATTCACAAAACAATCACATACATACACTGGACATATAAACTTACTTGTAGACATTATATGTCCACTGAAAAATGATTTAGAATGTGACATTTGTGCTTCAAAGCTATGAAAAACAGCTTTGATAGTTTAATAGAAAATGTAGTGAAAGGCTTAAAAAAAACTACATAGGAAATTTAAAAAATTCAAGTAAACGGTCTAAATCACAAAATGAGAAAAGCAGCTACTCTTGGAAAACAGATTGTGTAAAAAGTGATATTCATATATCACAATCTTTCAATAGTTATAAAATTCAGCAGTCCCATACAAAAGTTTTATACTTTCTAGTAAAGACTGAAGATGGCCAATAAAAAGCCTTTGAATAATTTATGTTAAAGAGTGCTGTTGATATGAAGTCCAGTCTCAGACTGGTACATTTTAGTTATCCACCACTGTGAACAGAAACGTGGACTTCATTCTTTTAATACACGTGGTACAATCTCGTAGCATTCTCCCTAGGCCTAGTTAATCATTTATGGGCCTTGTGAAAAATATGATCCAATGATTCAACAAACTAAAAAAAGAATAAAAACCTTTTACAAAATATTCAATGAGCCAGATTACAGGTATATTTTGTATAGAGTTCTTTTTATTTTCATGCAAAAAAATATATGCACACTTAATAACACCCTTTTATTTTGATTTATTTACAAGTTTTAAATTCAATCCCTTTATTCTCAACTGATTTTATAACAATTGCTGAATATTTTTCAAGTACATTATTGTTTCAAATGCACGGACAATGTGCAGCAGCAAATGCAGCAAACCTCAAAAACAAGGTGCTACAACATTGCTTCTACATCAAGAGACAGACAAGTGTCTGGGATAGTGGTTTAATTTTAACACTTATACAGACATACATCTATACCTAGAGAGAGACAGACAGATCTAAGAAAGCAGCTACATCTGCAGAGGAAGGAAACAGCATGTTACAAGGACAATTCAGGGAGGTCAATTATACATAGAACATTTGACAAACAACATAGAGAACAAACTTTGGCATTAATTACCAGGATACAAAACGTAGCACATTCCAATCTGCCAGTGGAGTGTCATATGGAACTATGCAGCCTGTAGCTGTTTGTTAATATTAATATCAACAACTATTTGACATTGCCAATGAAAATACTAACATAACTTTAATAAAACCATTTTAATGGAGAGCAAACAAGTAATGATGCAAAATTAGACTACCATTTTTGTATCTGTAATGATCAAATGCCTCAATATCGGATCTATGTGGTCATCCCACCTGAAAAATTGTAAGCTAAGGAAGTTCGGAGTCTGAAAAATGTGGCCTGACACTGCTGAACTAATTTGCTTTTAGTTTTATACCCTGGTTAAGTATCCATTTCACATTGCCTGATTAACACATAACACTATGCTTGTATCAGCCGCTAAGACAAGAACTGAAAAGCATAAGAAATTCCCTGCATGCATTATGTGTGGTGTTAGCAAAAGAGTGAGATGTGCCCCAGTCCATCTGAGGCACAGCAAGTTGCATAACATCATTACCACTTTGCAGGGTCTGTCGTCCTCCAGCCAACACTCCACTAGGTAACATTCCAGTGGGAGTCAAACCCTTGAGTGTCAGCACACTTTCACTCTCCTCCCTGGTGAGAAAAAACAACACCAAAACCTTAAATTACCGGTGCATGAAAGCTTGCATTGAAGTAAAATAATGGATGAGGAGAGGGAGAGACTATTTTTGCTCTGCTTTAAGCATGTGAAGACTGAATGTAAATTCCAATTCAAACGACTAAAAAGGGGAAAATGATTCTATTTCATACCAGTCTTTCCTCTGTCTAGGAGTTATAAATGCTGACTACTTCTGAACCAAATTCTGAGCAATTATTCACATGCAGAGTCATTAGCTTTGAAATTAGCACTGAATGCCTCAGGAGGCACTGAATGCATCTCAGTATCATAAAACAATCCCCAATTTTGTTCAAAGTGTCTATACTTCAGGAAATAACTTTAAAAAAATTATCCCTATTTGAGCAATTATGGTCTGTGGAAAAATTATACATTTTGGGTGAATATGATCATGAAATCTTTAGATTTAAAAAAGTATAAGAATATAGTATTTTTTAAATATCTGAAAGTAAATAAGTAAAAACCTGAAACAGAAACCCTCTAGTCCTCAAATTTCTGGTATGCCAGAAATTTTCAGAGCCAGTCCTGACCTCCTCCATTACACCTTTGATTTCAATCTCTATCTCAGTGTTGCCTTTCCAACACTCATAGCATCAGGACTAACAATGTGTAAACTAAACATCATGTTCTCTAATTTCCTCAAACATGTCTCAAAAATAACTCAAAAATATTCTTTAACCAAAAATACCAACATTAATGGCCTGCACCAATACGCCAAAAAAGATTTGGATGCACAGTGATCTCCCTGAAAAACATCTGGCATCAATTATCCTGAAAAAGAGATGTTTACCTAACATACATAGCAGGGGTTTAGGAATGCAGAAGTCATGCAAATACCTGAGAACAGAGAAGACTCTCGCCATCTTGCCGATTGCGCGAATTTTGTTTCTGATTATTTCTTTCCGTGCGGCAGCTGTACCTACTTTCAATGGAATAAGAAAAGAGTCTCAAACTCATGACTATTTAGAGGATCACCATTTTAAAGTGCATCAAACTCAACACAACTGTTTAAGTTCATTATTCTTCACAGGAGGTCAGTACCCTAACACCTAAGGGCACGAAGTCATTAAATTCTGGCTTCAGAATGCCATCAAAACCATCATCACCTCTGTGTCCACCAAACACACACAAAAACGTGTAGGATGTTCACAGTGATTTCCCAAAGCTACTAAGCATCTAAATTACCATTACTACACTGTAGTAACTATTGTAACTCACTTGCCTAAATTTTACAGTTTAAATTTTTAGTACCGACATCTTAATATATCAAGATGTAGGCATGCAGCCCAATGTAGAAGCCAAAGAGATATTAAAGCCACAAAACATAAAGAGTTTCTAATTGTTACACAGCTGTCAGAGAGAAAACAGTTGTTTTTATGTCAAATACCCAAAACAAAACTTGACAAGAAAAAAAAAAAAAGAGAGAAAATAAAATGGTAAAGAATTGCACTGGTACCTCCCTTACCACTTAAGTCTATGCTCCACATCACCTTAGGCTTGCATCATTTGCAGAAATCACGAATACCAAAAGACCTAGAGTAAACACTGCATATTCCACAGGGCAGAGTGCTACCATTTGTGGCAGACAAGAGTGAAGACAAAACTCTGAAAGGAGGCTTAGGAAGGAGAGCCACCTTGACATGACAAAGAAACTCTTTTCTCCAACACTAAACGTTATTGTTTTGCTTCAATGTATGAAAGTCATAGAATCACAGAATGTTCTAAGTTGGAAGGGACCCAGCAAGGGTCATCAAGTCAATTCTTAAGTGAATGGCCCATACGGGGATCAAACCCACAACCCTGGCATTATTAGCACCAGGCTCTAACCAACTGAGGTAATTTCAGGGTCACCCTTCCCCTCAGATCTTCCTTTGCTGACTTCTCAATTCCATTAAAATAGTAAAGGCAGATGAGGAGGTATCAAAATCAAAATCCTTATTACTCCTCAGCCGCTGGGGAAGGAGAGTGTTAATGACACCAAGGTAAGAGTAACTCAGTCCTACTGTGAATTCAACCATAGGGGACCAAAAGTGAACATTCAGACAGCTCTGTTAGGTATTCCAGATCTTCCATATGTCAGTGTTGTATCAGTCCCGGGACAAAGGTACTCAATAAAAAGTTGCCAACTTTTTACTTTTTTATTAATTTACATATTTATATAAATTTATATTAATTTGCAAGAACTTAGAAGAGAGGATCACAGAAGTGGGCAGAGGAAAGCTGCACATCCACAAATTCACCTACTTGCATTCAAAAAAAGGGAGCTGTGGAAGAAGCTTTTTTCCATCCCTGCTCACTAGTATGGAACTTCCCCAGGAGAGGACACACACTCCAGCACAACAGTCACACTTCTCAGACCACAGCTGCAACAACACAAGGCCTTCTGTCCACAGGAATGGGTAGCCTTCCCACCCCAAATGCCAAACCAAATAAATTAAAAAGATAAAGCATATAAGGTCAAACAACAAAACCACACAAGATGGAAAATGTGTAGTAGTGACAAAGAAAAAAAGGGAGCAAGAGACAACCTTAGGAAGACCACAGTGGAAGAATCTCGGGGTATGACAAATATCTGCCAATCCATTGAAATGAAATGAAAAAAACAGAAACTACTGAATACAGTTTTTTATAGACATTAAAACTTCGAGAAACTGAAGACATCAAACTAAAAAAAGGACAAAACAAGTGGCTCAGGAAAAACTTTGAGTAGGATAGGCTGAAACATTCAACTTTTACTGAAAATAATTTCCTTGCAATTTTAACTTTTAAAGTTCTAGAAGTTTTTACTTTTTGAATACTATTGAGTAGCAGTTTGAGAATCTAGAATGAGAAGGGGATTTTTCCAATGTTTTTGAAAAGGTCAGGGCTAAATGAAGAACCATTAATCTTTCCCTGTAAGTTCCTCAATTTTGCTCCTACCTACACCTATTTACAGGCCGAGCTGTAACATGCAGGCTGGAAAGATTTCAGGCAGTGCTAGTGCCTGGATCTAACTCTGCAAGGTCCCTATGCCTTGAAAGGAGAAAGGTTGCTTTTGGGTAGTTTAGGTGTTTTGGTTTCATTTAGGTTGGTTTGTTTTTTTCACCATGCTCTCATTGCCCCAGCCCTCCAGAATCAACACAGCCAAGGCAAAAGGCCAAATGCATTACTCCAGGCTGCAGCACTGCACTAATGTGGCCACTGAATCCTGGTTGCTAAAGAAAACACGGCTTGCAGAATGTCTTGATTACACCCTAGATTAGAGGAGATATGACAAAGAACTCTCCCATTTCCTATTCCCAACACTGGCACAAGAAACAAATGCTGAAACGTTGATACTATTATGCCCCAAAGAGTTCACATACACCCTGGAAACATGTCTATAATCTAATGCATTCCCAAGTATAAGAAATATTCTGTGAAACTGACAAAGAGAACAAACTGATTATTAGGTAAGTAATGGTCAGAAGAATTTCTCTGTACAAAACTATCTACCCTGGGATTTCTGAAAAACATGTGATAGACCACGATTTTAAGTTAGTAAGCTTCTTTTTACATTTTGAATCTTCAAAATAGCACACGGGATCAAAAAGTACCTTTTCGACATCTCAGTTAAGGAAACTAAAAGTACTACACAAACCAGTTTTTGGAACATTGCATAAACACATTCCATGCACAACCTTAAAAATATGGCTCATGAGGAAAGTATTAAAGAGCAAGACGGACAACTGAAAGCTCCCTACACATGCAGGATCAAAGATAAAATTTTAGAAATAGGTAAAAGAATGAAATTCTACAGAAAAAAAAGGAATGGAAGAAAGGAGGAAAAAAATTCATGCACAGAAAGACAGATGTCTTGGAATATGACTTCTGATAACAAAATACACAAGTCTTTAGAACCATCCCATTAAAAAGATTAATAATCATAAAATACTACATATGTCTCTCAACAGAAAGGTATTTTCTCATTAATACTTGTGAAGTCATATTTCAAAACATTCCTACTCTGTCTGGTCTGTACCTTTTTTATTGCCATATATGAGTCGCTCTTCAGATGGAGAGTCCAGAAAAAAAGGAAGTGAACGATGGAGAAAAAGGTGAGTGAGACAAAAAAAAATAAAGATATTTAACTTGGTAGTGGTAATAAAGAAGAAATGGAGAAGAAATGTGAAAAAAATAAAATGGAAAACTGCAACACTTAAAAATGCATTCATCAAACAAGAAGTGGAATTGTTGAGTATATTTTAAAATTTGATGATAAACAAGTGGAAACTTGAAAGCCAACAGTTAAAAAAAATGCATTCACATAGAAAGATAAAGCGTAGACAGTACCTAGGTGGCATAAGAGATGCATCAAGCAAAGAAATTGTTAAAGGAGACAGAAGAATAAAATAATTCAAATTAGGAAACTGCAACTACTGTACTACAGACAGGTCATATGCAATCATCTGACAAACAACTATTCTTGCAAACATAAATCCATAACAGCAAAGTTCAAGTGGCACAGAACCAAAGCATTCCAAAGTAAAACACACAGCTTCTTAGCACAACACCACCCTGATATCTAATTTGAACACAGGAGTTATCAAATGTTCCTCAAAGGCTGCTGAAACTTCCCTTTCTCCTCTCCAACAAAAAATGCACAAAATCAGTTCTGTTGTTGGATAAAACAGAGCAAATCTGAGAAACTTTTAGGTGTGACATTAGGCACTACTGTAAAAAAACCAACAAAGTGTGATACACTAGGTCTTCATGTTAATTTTGCTTCTTAATCATCATGCTACAAACACCTCCTCAATCTACTGTATCTCAGTTTAAGAGACAGAAAGATGTTGTAATTCAGTACACGAATACACATTATATAACGTACATACACAAATTGACCTTTAACTTTTATGCTTTAAACTCAAACACTAAGACAAACTTGCATTTCATACTTTATGTATAGTACTTTGCCATAAAAAAATAGTATATCTGACTTTCACCTACATCAACTCTTTATTGAAGAGCAATGATTAAGAAATTAGTGTCTTATAATAAATTTATTCTACATATTAGAAAGGTAAGTTAGTATGTTTCAAATCTTAAATGCTAAGAAATTCTGAGAATTTTCCACAAGAAGTTCTAAATAGAAATCAGATATGAATATTAGCAAAGGTTGCCATTACTGCTTCTTGATCACAAACACAATCACAATTCCCTTCTCTGGCTCCCCAAAGCATCAACATCTAAAGAAAAACCTGAAGGCAATTTTCTTCCAACTCCAGGCAATAATACACCAGTCTAAGTTAACTATTGTTCACAAGGTATTACTATTAAGAAGATTTATATATGTTAAAGTAATAATCCCTACCGTCAAATTGATCTTCTCCCTCTGTCATCAGTTCATCATCAGAGCAAATGCTCAAAACATTCACCAACATTTCTGTTACTGTACAGGAAAAAAAATAAACTTTAATTCATTCTGCATAGAATTTAAAATATTTCCATGCACACAAGATACAGTAAGTCACCAGTAGCTCTAGTGAATGAACTTCCCTCACCACAGCCATTGCTCAGGAGCGTGGTTTCAAAAATAGTGTTTTTCTTGATGTGCGCTGTCATAGAATTTAAAAAGCTCAGAAAAATAAGCAGCTAAAATGACACAAGCTAACAATCAAAGAACACAGCAGAGCTTCCTCTCCTGTCTTACAAGGAGTTCTTCATGTAAAATAATAGTTTTATGTTAGCATAAGTGTTTGAACTAGTTTTTATGCAAACTTTAGTTAAATATGAAAAATGTTCACCGCTCAAATTCAGGCTTGAATTGAGAAAACTGTTCCATTCTTGGCACCTGCAGGCATCGTAGCAAAAGCGCCCAAGCAGGAAAATATTAGAATATAAATGCGATGCAAACTACATCTCTTTTCAAACTCCCCTTAAAAATATCAACATAGTGGATACAAGTTTTTGAGACAAGTTTGTGCATTTTCTTTCTCCAGGACTCCTCCTTATTCTGCCACTCAATCTTTCCCACACATATCAGACTCTATCTTAAAACTTTCATAACATTTCCTCCACCTAGAATGTTCAGAAACCTATCCAGAAGTACAGCTTGGTTCTTAAAAACATTGTAAATTGCTGCCTACATTTATTCATTACTAATTCATACTAATTCATCCACTTCATTACTAATTCATACAATCCCTGTATTATCTACTATGGTGATATTCTTATTCTTGGGAAGGAGTTACTCCCTACTGTAACGAAAAGAACAAAAAAAGCCCAACCAAATTATGATGATTTTGATCTGTTCAATGCAGACCAGACATTATTGACACTGAATCCTTCATCAAGAGTGGACAAGTGTATTTGTCCAAAGGCAAGGCAAACTACAGGACATGACTCCAGCAGTCTGAAGCAGACAGCAGGTCAATGAGACACTCAAGTACTGCTAAATAAGTTGCTGGGTGTCATTACCAGCATCACAACAAAAGCAAAATACACAGGATATCCCTTTGCTGTTGAAAATACTATGTACTGCATTATCAGGCAAGAGAGATATAAACAAAAATCTCCTTTCAAATGTCAGGTCCCTTCATTTAAATATTAAAAAAATTGTTGAGTGGGTTAACCACAGTAAAAAGTATCTAAATTATTTGCATTTAACTGCTTACTAAAGACAACACAAATCTAGAATTCTATGTTTACACAACTGTAAATATATAACTACAAGAATACTTTTCAAAGAAATTAAAAGAGCTCTCCAGATCTCTTCTTATAAAAAGAACAGTTCCTTTGTAGAAGGATTTTAAACAGACCCAAATAGCCTCTAACCTCATTGCTTTTCAGCTGAGGACTACTTGGGGCCCCAGTGTCCTAGATTCAGTTATCAACTCTAGAGGGAAAAAAAAAAAAAAAAAGGGAGGATCTGTGCTAAATTATCTTTTTTACAAGAAAAAATTATAACTGAAAAAATTATCCTTAATGAAGGTCAATCTATATAGGAAAGTTAAAATTTTATATGTAGATATGCACCCTCAATGGAAATCATGATTTATGTTAACACCTTTGGTATATTAGGTGCAGTTCTAACTACCTGGACTGAAACAGGTGAAGAAAACAACACAATAATAATAATGCAATTAATCTCTTTGGTAAATATATTAAAAGAAAAAGAAAATCTTCCCAACATCAATCTGGGAGAAATAGGAAAGATATTAGTTAATGTGTAACATCTGCTTACCTTTTTCTCCAACAAATGGCAAAGACCATGTGAAAACGTCCATAAAATTTGGTAGCCAGTAAGGATGAGGAGAACAATTGAACTGACGAATATTCATCACATTGTTTTCATATTTTAATACAGCAGCTAAAATAAAATTCAGACATTTTGAAAAGAATGTTTAAAACTTGTAAGTACCACATATGTGAAGTCAGAGTCTTGTTTTAGCTCTATTTATACCATAGACTAAATAATCGCAGATATACTCCGTTCTCTTTCTTTCAAGTATTTAAAGGACAGATTTCTAATGGAGAGCTTTGGATTTTTACTGCGCATGTTACAGTTTAAGGCACTCTTACATGTCAATATAGTTCTGTACTATCCTATTATAGGTCTATAATGAACAAAGATTTTTAAAGGTCCTGAAAAGGCATAACTTCATCAACTTCAACAAAACCCTAACTCAGAACAGCAGTATATCCAGTATATGCAGATTCAGGATTTATTCTTAATATGTGTCTTCCCATATTGTAACTCTGGAGTAAAACCATAGACATCTAGAAGATGAGGGAGAAGGGGAAGCACAAAGAAATACACCAGAAAACCAGAAGCATTCTAAAGCTAAATAAACATTGATTGCATTTTTCCATACTTGCACTACACTGGGAATGATGTGAAAAACGATTCTATGAACACGGTATCCATAGAGATAGTGGAAAAACCTAAATAGCCATTTGAAGCTATTTTTACTTCCCCTTTGCTTTGCAATCAGTGCAAGTAACAAGAACCCATATTTTCCTGTATATAGTTATTCACCCTACAGAAGTGGTATGGGCTGGGGGGTGGTTCTATGAAGGTGGGTGGAAGAAAATGCAATATATTTAAGAAAAAAAAAGGTCTTGGTTTCAAAGGAACACTATTTTAACATTTGGAGATCATTCATTCATCACCTACTTGAAATGCCTTACTTAAATATCATACTTTAATTTCAGCAGGCTTTATTTTTGATTTCTGTTCTTGAATTTTGTTCTTATCTATGAATAATATTAGTTCACAGCTAAGCTCTTCTCTGCAATTCTGTAATTCTTCACACTATTAAACATGCTTCTCCTGTTCAACTTTATCTTAGTAGAGGATGGACAAAAATGAATTCCTTGTTTTATACCTCCTTAATAATATTTCCATTGGTAATCAGTATTTTGATTCCTACTTGCTCTTTCTTGATTTCCCATACAGGACCATTATGAGAATTATCATCACAATTAAGACTCCCAGGTGCCACAATACACAACACAAACTACCTTATGCACAGGCTTCTGATCAATGCTTCCTCCCTTCCTTGCTTAGTTCACCAACTAAAGACAACTAGAGGAATGAAAACTCATAGCACTGGAAAACTCTGCTTGGAAAACACCAGATGATACATTCAAAAGAACTGAACAGCAACAACTTTCACAAAGGAAATGTTGACCCCAACTTGTGCTTCAAGGTACTCTTACAAGAGATTGGCATTTATGGTACATGATCTTCTTCATAATATAACTTTCATTACTACATTTTTTTTGTCCTTTAATTTCTTACCTGGTAAAAAGTTGTTGATAAAAGATTATCTAGTTAGACAACTTTATTATTAAAAACAATTATTAATAATAAGTTCTTACCTTTATTATTGTAGACATCCAGATAATTAGGTGCTGAAAAAATTGTTATTAATGATGGGAACCCTGTAGTTTGACTTTTCCTGTACATTCTATAACTGCAAAACCAAACAGATTATTTTACATCTTACAGCAAATAAGCAATTAATTTTTATTTTACACCATGAATAATTCCTTGAAAGACACGAAGTACTTACCCTGCATCTTGTGCTTCATGTGCTCTAATGATTGACAACAAATTATTATTTTGCAAAAATTCACAAACTGCTGGATAGCTGTGAAATGAAAACAATTATGAGTAAAAGAAATTCTCTTAAAATATGCAGCAAGAATCAGTATTAAACACCCAATGAGATCATAGCATACTCTTACCTATAAAAGTATGAGCATCCTCTGACTGTATTGTGACTGAAATGCTCTTGTGAGTTTTCATTTCCAAAATCTTCTGACGGATCTGACCACAGTAAGTCACACATTGGTCCAAATGCTGGAGGCTCTTTGAATCTATCTAACTGTTTAACAAAAGGTAACAGCACAAAGACTCTTTGAATATTAAATCAGTAAGTTTTACACATTTGTTAAACTACATATCCATCAATACCAAGCATTTTTAGAATAAATCCCAACCATATCAAAGAGAAGTAGTTTCTGTATATTTTTTTCTCTCCTCCTCATGAAATAAGGCAGAGGCATGCCAAAAGAACCAAACCTGTTAAGAGCAATAAGATTTATTAGTTGTAAAAAGAAGGGAGATAAATTCCAGACTGATGGATATGTGTAATACAGGTCAAGTTACAGACAAGGAACAAAATGGTCCTTTTTCATGCACATGCCACATCTACCAATCTGGAGACACTACCAGGAATTAGCAAAGAGAAACAGTACAGAAAACAGGAACTATGAAAGAAAAGCATGAATAATTAGCACCGACTAGAAGAGACTAAATACATATTACCAAAAGAAATCCAAAAAAACCACCAAAAGAAAAACAAACCACCCTGGAACACCCGTCTCCATAATGGACTGTTTAACAATGCAATGAAGATGTGACTAAGCTCAGCTGTCTTAAGATTTCTTTCATACAAGCTTTATTTTTCAGCTCTAGCCCTGATGTAATGGGCCATAAGCATTTTGGGAGATGTCTGTGTTTTCTCTTGCTGCTTCTTTACTGATTTCCACTTGAAACACCTGTTTCAGCAGCCTGCAACTTTTCTAGTAACCACAGTCAAAAGGGGCAGAAGTAAGGAGGACAGTGCATTTGTTAATGTAAAAGGAAAATACCCTGCTTAAGTAAGTAACAGGCAATCTCTGATGTCCCAGAAATGAAATTAGATATCCCAGATTCAATGTAAAGTTGATTTGATCTTTATGTAGCTGGAGTTTGTTCACAAGATGATTTTATCCAAGAAATGTAGGAACGGTTCTTTGATGGACAGTGCATTTATCTCACTTCACTTCCCATACCAAAGAAGATGATTTTGATGGTACTAGAGAACACTTAACTCTTCGTGACAGGTTCGAAGGAAGGTTTGGTGAGCACCTGGTGAATTTGAGTCTAACGGTCCATAGGAATCCATTCAAATATGGAACCAGCAGTAGTGCCAAGCTCTCTCATGCCCTGGAAAATCAGAGCTCCCGAGGCTGCCACCTGTAACATAAGTGGAGAGGTCCAGATCTTTACAAATTCCTGCCAGATAATGGTAAGGCAGGTATTAACTGAAGTTGTTGTCGGAATTTATTCAATATTAAAAATCCTGTGGTTTAACATTTCCCACACTGGATGATAAACCTGGTATGGAGTATTTCTTCCAGATTGAAGAAGTCAGTCCATCAACTTCTGCAAGTACCTGAATTTCTGTAGATTAAACCATCAAGTTTCTAAACCTCCAGCAATAAATTTGGGTCCAGAAGCTAAGAGAAGCATTCATACAAGGAAGTTTCAACTGTCTGCTGATTGATGTTTCCTGCAATACAGAAGGCTGAAAGTCTAGAAAACATTTTTAAGGTTTTTTTCTTTAGTTAGTATTCAAGGATTTTCCTTATGACTTTGGCCAAATGTACAGAGACATTATAAATAAAAAGCTTTGGCTGCAATTAATGTGACTCTCTCTCAAACTACTTTCTCATAGCATTGAAACAACAATGAAGCCATTTCTTGAAGTGTGTAAAAAATAAATATACTTACATACACACCAAATCAGTGTCTCCTTCATTAGACAGTCTACTATGGTTCTCAAGACATCTCAAAATTTAAGGAAATGTCACTGCAAGCTACTCAACCCAGAGTGTACATATCAAATCAGAATAATCAACTTAAGGGGATTTTTGTATTGGCACAGCAAGAAAGTTAACAAAGGACATGAGTCAATTCAAAACACTTGTTACTAATTAATATTTCTGACTGTTCTTTGACTATTGTAAAACAATCCCAGTACAAGTAAGCTTAATGTATTTCTAAATATGATTAAGGTAACAAAGACAATTTTATTCAAGAATAAGAATCAATACACCTGGTATTTAAACAGAAATAGGTAGTATATTATTTAATATACTGTGAGATATTTCAATTAATTTATAGCTATTACGCAGTCAGGGCTACTAATTTGAGGTACATTATACCTCCCCATGTATGTTCATATTGAGGAGTACCAAAACCTTAGAGGTGGATTAAGGTACAGCAAATTGAAACAATTTTACTTTTGAGGCAAAAGACCTTCACAGAAGTTTCACATACAGACACCAGTTTTAATTAATCTGTCCTCATTTTCCTGAGAACTATCACATCGTAAAGCCTAAAGAACAGTGTGAAGGCCAGTGAAGTGTGGCTGTCACCTGATGTATTACTAAACAAAAGGAGATTTCAGCAGACCACAGAAAGGAAGCAAGGTATTATAAACACAGATTCCCAGTAGTGCTGCCATATATTTCAAGGCACTTTGCTGACCAAGTCTTAGTATCACCATGAGCTAAACAAAATAATGACCGTCTGTTGTAAACAAGGAAGAAAATTCTTTGTCTCTCTTCTTTAGAGTCGCCATAACCTTATCTGGACACTTCCCTCCTTGTAAAATACTAAGCTTGAAAATCAAAATCCTGGAATTTTGTTTCTTGGCAGTGTAAATGAAATCAATGGAACAGCATCTGTAAGGTGATGGACAAGTGTTTCTTTACCAAAACAATCAGAATATTTGTGTAAGTGACATTCAGAGAATAAAAATCAGATTACTGCAAGTTTCACAAACTTCCATTTTCCCCGAAATAAGAAACACCTGCAGCAACCTTTCTTGTTAGGATTCACTGTCATGGCTAGTATGATAGTTGTCCTCTTCTGGAAGTAAGTTTATGACAGGAAAAATAATAATTTAATTTCTATGGTTTTATCGCCATCCTGAAAGTCAGCAATACTGATAAAAGGCTTCATCCAGAAGAAACTGCACCTGAACAGAATTTGTCTTTTTTTCTTAGGTGATTCCTATATTGTTTATAGAGCTGGGATTTCCCTTATGCCAGGTGAGTATGCCTACACATGCTTGCAGAGAAGACCTCTCCTTAATAAGAACTTCTGCTAATAAAGCAGAAGGCTTGTCTTGACTGTTTAAAGAAGTAATTTCACACACCACACTTGTACCCCAACTATTTGATATTTTCCTAGATATAAAAGGAGCATTTCACATCACCTATTTAACTACATTTAGAATATCAGTGCATGCCAAGCTCTAATGCAGCTATTGAAGCTGCTGCCAACTCATGCATAGTGCCTTTTCCAAGTTACCAGATGATTCTTTAAAAAACAAAAAAGGCCCAAGGAACAGTTCTAACTGTTCTAACACTGCCTTATATTTATAAACATGTTTTTTATCAGAACAAAATAAAATGCAGATTTTCATGTATATATATATAAACATACAAGCTTGTGTTTCACCCTAATGTAACCTTGAACGTTGTAGAAGCACATATGAAAGTACAGGCCAGACGACTTGACACTTTGAAACAAGACTAGCTGCAAGACTGAGATTAACAGAAAAATGAATGACAATCCTGTCATGACAGTGGCTTTCCAAAATATGTTTCCTTTACACTACTTTCCAAAAAAGCCTTGACCAAGCTGCCTTTCATCTGTAACGTGAGAAGTGTTAAGGCGTTGTCAGAACGGCACCATTTGGTTGCTTTGCTCTCTTACTTCTCTTTCTCTGCACAATGCACGTGGATTTCTGTACACGGCAGTGTTTGATCCAACAATGCACCGTGCCTCAGTACACTCACATTTACACCACTGATCTTGTAAATATGCTTCCCTCTCTGTTTCTACCATTTTATTCTCCTCTCATATCACTCTGCTTGGTAATGTAGCATCTGCAAGTGAAATAACTGACATTCCAGCCTTTGAAATGGTCCAATCAATACAAAAAAACCCAAGTGAACAAAATACGGTAAATTCAGAAATGAGATTCAACTGGATAGCCTATAACTCTGAGGAGAGGAAGAGGTAAAAAAGAAAAATGGAGCACAAGTAAAGGAGAAAATGCTAGGAAAATGAGAAATACAATACATGAAGATAAAAGGACAAAATGGGCTGTCAATATTTATATGTTATAGAAACAAGTTAGGAACATACTTTTACCTTCTCTCTGACATTTACATGGCTTTTACAATAGGCCTCCACATACCTTCTTCCATGTGAGAATAAATAACTTTTTTTTTTCCATCCTTACCTATAATCCCAAAGCTTTCTTATAACCACCTATTTATGTTTTAAGCTGAAATCAAGTACATTTCAGCTGTTACTAATCATAACAGGAATGGTTTTGATTTCCAAATGCAGCAGTCAAGATGTCAGCTAAGTTAATTAAAATAAACCAAAAAGGAACATGCAAAAAGGAAAGCAACTGAGTTTGAAAATTCCCATCCGATAAAATCTCCACCTGACATCAGCAGTCCATCCACATTGTTAGAAACAGGTATCTCATGTCATTACAGTCCTCTTCTCTTTAAACTGCACATCACTGTTTAGTGTTTCCAGTGTATAATTTTAAAAACCTGCTTTCGTATGTCTTGCTGTTACACTCAGAACATTTACCACAGTGAGAAGTACTCTACAACTGTTACTCAAATACCTACCAAATCTGCCATTTCAAACAGAAATCTGAATTTCTATTAAATACTGCCATGTCTCATTCTGTCAAACCTAAAATCCACATGATTAAGACAATAAAAAAAATTTTTCAAAGAAATTTGAGAATAACTGAAATATGACGTTTGGTATAGCAAACAATCTTAAGACTACAATTAATTTCTATAAGTTTTTTCCTGAAAGCTATGAGAACACTAGCTCTTACCTAGAAAGTATTATTTTGATTGGATATGAAGCTCTTTATACATACTACCTGTCTCAGGCGTTTTCGAGTGAGTTTTTTGGTGTGTGTTTTGTAACAGTCCCAGCTCTCCCAATGAGGTCTACTAATGGAAAATGAACTAATAATCCATGCGTTTTTAATTATGATACTGCCTAGACTACATTTCAGTTCCTGATTTCCACTTCCACAAGAGACAAGAACAGAAAACAATATACTGACAACTTCGAAAAGATGACTTTGTATAGCATCATATAAATATCTCTATTTCCACTTATTTCCAAATACACAAAATACTCACTCTCCTAATGTCATCTAGTGTATTAATTTCTGGTGAAAGTCCACCATGAACACAAAGAAACTGTTGATTTAAGAGAGCAGCAAGAGGGAGACAATCAAAAGCTTCCATACAAGCATCATAGACTCTTTCAGAGTACTTTATTTTACCTGCAAGAAAAAAAATAGAAATCATGAAAAAAATCCATAATAGATGGATGAAGTCAACTAGTGGATCATAATTGTAAGAGCAAATATCAAAGTGAATGCTTAAAAAAAACTAAAGCAATGAGTATTTTTGGGTTTAAATGAACATTTCTAAACACCACAAAAGTAAGCACATTTCTAAGACATATTCTCTTCCAGAACAATAAACTTATTTCATTTCTTCTTCTGTTATCTCAAGAGTGGAGAAACTATTTTTGTTTAAAAAAAAAAATCACTCAATTATTTTTTAATTATTTTTATACAATTACACAGAATACGTCAGTGTAAAATACTACTGAGAAGTTTGTAAACTCTCATTTAGAGTGAGAAGCTAAGAACTAATTATAGATTACATCATTTTTACCTACACCAAAGAGGGTTTTACCAGGCCAAATGATCCATTTATCACTGGATCAATATTTACACAAGCCTTCAAATGGAGAGGCAGCTGACATCATCAAAAGAGTTATCTTACTAGTATAGTTGAAAATCAATTCCCCAAATGGAAAAATTACTCAGCAGTAGGATTTCTCTGCTCACTTCACAATGCTGCTCAGCAAGTTACTCTGCACTCCTGATTATACCCAAGAGAGCAAAATAACCTTCTTCTCTTCAGGATTTTAAAATCGAGATTGATATATCAAAATTTACTCCACAATGTGTATTTGCAGGCAGCTGTCTTCTTGCACTCCAGTGCCACACTAAACTGCAAGCAATTCTGTAGAAGTCAACGGGGCCTTCAAATGTTTGTAAGACCTTAATTAAACTAAGAAACAAACATCTCTTACTATGGCTGTAGATCAGCAGGTTGGAAGTAAGCTAATTTTACATTCTTAGACTACTTACATTCTTGCTTAAAGGTAAAATACTCTGTTAGGTGTCTGCATTCATGGTTGCCTCTCAAAAGAAATAATGTGCTTGGGTAGAGAATTTTCAGGACCCATAAGTACAGCACACACTGTTGAAAAAAAAAAGGGATCCAGTAAAATACACTAGTTTATAAGAAATTGAAAAATGATTACTGAGAAACATTGAGTAAGGATGCTACCAGCTTCAAAGGCAGGTACAAAAGCTTTATGTGCCACTTTAAAATACAGCACTACTTCCCCAAGTCCAGTTCTGGACACAAGTTATGCAGATTGCTAATTACTTTTCTTATTAACAGCCACATAGAATGCTGAAAAAATATGGACACTCAATAATAAAGTCAGCAGAATTAAACTGCAAAACACTTTCATCCAGACAAATACTCTATGTGTTTGTGCCTAAAATCCAATTTTATAATATGACTCTAAACACTGGCATAAGAAGGAAAGTAGACATTTATTAATAGAGACTGAAGAAAAAAAGCAAAGCAACAAAATAATTTACATTAAGATTAGCTATACCATTTGGAGATCATTCTTAAACTAAGAATGGACATACATTGGGAAAACTGGTTGCTTTCTCAGTGTACAAGCAGTAGACTCAAAGAATTATAGTGAGTTTCCATATGTCATTATTCCTGCAACACCAGCAGTGACCAGAGTTGAAGACAGAGCAACAGAACGTGAACAATTATTTCAGTTTACAGTATTGTAACCACCCAGCAGTCTCCAATGCGCAAAATGTAGTTCCTAAATTTTAAATCTAATTCTTCTATTTTAAACTGAGCACAGAAATCTCAAAACCCCGAAGTTTTGGACTCCATCGAAGACACCTGCAAGTCATTATTAGTGTTGTTCTCAATAAAAACGTGTACCCTGAAGCAATCATTCTTCAGAGTTATTCTGCATAGAATAGTATATGAAGGAAGAAAGAAAACAAATCAATGCTTTAAAAAAACCCCACAAACAAAATGTATTGAGAAACACATCAAAGACTTTTATTGTGAAGTTTGTCTAAACTAATTACTGAACTTTTATCTTCTTAGTAAAAATATGCAAAATATTAATTTTGCTAATGATAATGCTCGCTTTCCAATGTTTCTGTAACTCTAAAATATCCTTACACTCTTTAGAAGTGTTTCTCATCAGAAAGAATAATCAAAACAACTGCCTATCATCAAATGAATACATTAATCGCTTTGGCTAATTCTACAGTTGTGAACTGTTTTAGTTAAGTCACATCGCATGAAAAATCCATGGAAGCTGCCAAACTTGAAAACATTTAACAGAAAAGTGACAAAACAGTGCCTTCCTTTCAGTGAATGGATACTAAATTTGATTAAATTGCTGAGATTTACATGTTCTCAAGTATTACCTATTAAGTACAAAACCAAATCATTTGTTTTACTTTTCCTGTACTGGCCTATTTATTTTTGTTATCAAATACAGACAGAATAATGTTAGCATTCTTTATGTCCTGTTACTTCCAGCAAAGAAAAGAAGGATTTGCACACACTTCTGTGAAGGAGTCCATCTTGATCCCTGCAGTTTGTTATATACAATTGCGGTAGCATGTAATTATCTTTCTTATTTGAAGTAATAACTTTTTTTAATTGGAAATGGATTACTACTAAAATATCAATGTAATTAAGTATGTTTCAGGACAGATTAAGAATTTATTACTGAAAAATCAAATTTCACTGTTCTTACATTTATTTAAAATTTCAACTTTCTGTGAAATTTCACCTTTCTGTGAAATTCTGTCAAGTATTTTACCAAAAGTAAATTACCTTTCCAATCACTAAGAAAGGTTTTACAGTAACCATATATGAAAAGTCATAGAGGTCAACTTAAAATTCCTAAACATTAATTAAGGCAAAAGCTTAAGTAGAAAAAAAATTTTAAGGTTAAAATGGGGAACAAATGGCTGATTTTCATGTACTGCCTTTTAATTTCTCAACAAGACCACAAAGCATAGTCTCGCCTTGATGCATCTGCAGCAGTTCATTCAGACAGACTGCATGTACTTCAGAGGATCATACAAAGATTTAGGCTGGAAAAGACCTCTGAGATCATCAAGTCCATCACCCATCCAGAATAGAAGAGAGCAAATTATCTCAACAAAAGACAAGAGTTTTAAGAACCCTAGAGTGGTTTTCAAGAATCTGTTTAGCATATCTTTACATATTCTGCATGTGTATTTAACATGCCAAATACAGTGTTACTCTTGCAGATCATCCTGTGCTGGTCTAAGAGTTGGACTCAATGATCCTTGTGTGTCCCTTCCAACTCAGCATATTCTGTGATTATATTAAAAACTACATTAAAATCACATGAGAGGAAAAAAAATCCGAGCCTGTTCTTATTAATATATTCAAGAACAATTATTGTTCAGAAGTCTTTTAGGTGTAATGGTTGAAAAGCTTTAATAACATGCTTTGATATATTAATACATAGAGCTGCTATGTAAATGTCCTTTTCAAGGACAATTACATTACTTGTAATCATCAAGAACAGGCCAAGAAGATCAAATTAATAAATAGGGAATGCCTCATCCTTGAAGATGAGGCAACCACTCTTGCTGCATCTCTTGTCTGTCTACCATCTCTAACAACCCCAAAAGGTCTTGTGCATGCCCGTCAAAGCATATGCCCCCACGGTATTAGAATGGCAACATTTTGATACAGAAATGGAAGACCATACACCATGGTTTGCAAGGTACTATTTCCAGTGGTGTGCCACTCCATTAGATTTGGTATCTATGAGGAGATCCCAAGCTGAGGCACTTCCCAGGCTGGCTCCAGAAGAATTAACTTAAAAATCATGGCTCTGAAACTAATTGATGTAAGTAAGTGAATATCTCTGAAATGTAGCACACTTAATAAACATGCTGAAAATTATAAAATTATTTGAACTCCAAATAACTGAAAAATTAATGGCAGAAACACGGGGCATCCTTAGGGAATATCTGTATTTCCTCTGAGAATTTTAGTAAAGAAAAGTATTAATTATTATTAAAAACATTTCATTACATAAATAAAATTAATTTCTTTTATAAAAATAAACATATAATAATATTAAACAGATAACAATATTGCAAATAAGAAATTAAAAGACCTTGCAGTCATGACTCACCTGTTCTCCAAAAACATACAAACACACCTTCCTGCATATTACCACAGAAGCAGCATTGTATAATAATGTTATAGAATTCAACTTTTAAAAAACTAACTAAAGAAATAGGAGGAAAAATTAGTAAGACTGGTGATTTCAACATGATAGTTCAAACAGTTGGTCAATATCCTCCTGTAAACAGACCTCTGTCACAGGAGAAAGCACAGCAAAGAACACATTCACATGTTAAAGCAGACCTAAAATTTCATTTGAAAACCTCAGTGAAAGTGTGCTTACAGAAAAATTTAGGACAAAACAGATTAATATATTCAGTTACCTCTATACTAAAATAACCTCTGTCTACATAGTCACCGAGGAAGAGGTATCTTGTGTTAGCAGGTGATCCTCCCACTTCAAACAGCTTCATTAGATCAAAGAACTGGCCATGAATATCACCACACACTGCAAGCAAAAATTTTGTTCAAATTAATTTCAAAAAAATCTAACAGAAAAGTTACTAAGTTATAGTCAAGTAAATAGCCACAAAGTACTTCTAATTAAGAGGAAAGGCAGGTATAAAGCAGGAACAACAGGTATTTTTGAAGGTTCCCTGTTAGTTTTTCATTAAGATGCTGTCTTCACCACCTGTGGCAATGATAGCCCTATTTGAGTCTAGCAGATTGTGGACTATTTTTCCAACACAGTTTAATGCACTGAGCATTGTGGTCTTGAAAGCTGTCAGCAGCTCTTCACTGTCCTCCCCAACCCCCTAGGTATCTTTGCAAATTCTCCTTGCTATGTGTATTTGAAAATGCCTGTTGCTTTGCAATGATTTGCTTGAGTCCATGTGAGCTTGAAAAAAAGTGGAAAGTATGCTTTTGTTTCTGAGTCAGACTAACATACCTTTTAATATCACCATATCTTCTCTTTGCTCAGTTACTTTTCTCCTTCAAATAACCTGTTCACTATTTCAACAGGGATTTTTCTTGTGTTTTTAGAATATGAGACAGGACAAGACCAGTGATCAGCAACCTAAGGCAGAAGTGCCAAAGATAGCAGATGGGAGGTCTTGAAAGAGCATACAGCAAAGCCAGGTCATCTCACAATTAAAAAAAAAAAAGGGTAATTAAAAATTGCATGGAAGAGACAACTGCTCCGATCTCTTTCCCACAGGAGTTCCCAGTCAGTGGAAGTCAGGAGCTCCCTTTTCACTTTTGCACGAAGTACGGTTATAACCATTAACGGGAGCTCAAGAGACTATGCCTTTCATTGATGCAAAATGTCACTGATCAACGCACAAACAGCATCTTCTGACTTCTTAGAGTTTATCTGTAAATTCTCTGGGGGAAAAAAAGTTGTTCTAATTTTGGAAAGAACACCACACTTCAAAGGTTATTATTCTCTTAGAGCAGGCCATTTGTCATCACAACCTACAAAATATCAGGCTGAATAGAATATGTCCACTTTTATGTTCTTTTTTAAAAATTTCTACTCAAACACTGAAAGAACTTTCCCTTTTTTTCAACTGCCAATGCACCAACTACCTGAACAAACAGAAATAGAAAAATTCTAAACAAATTGTAGTTTTGAGCTTTATCTGGAACTGCAAAAGACTGAGCTCAGAGACAGCCACTTAGTGGTTTCCACCATTTCAATCACTTGTTTAGAAAACATCTACAAGAATAATGATGTACTGTTTTAATGTCTTCATTTACCCGGTACTAACAAATAACTTGCTGATGTCCTAAAAGAAGCTTTCAGACACTAATTTTATATGTGTCCATTTAGAAGAAACCACATTCAGATTAAAGAAAATCTGATTTGGACATAAAAATCAAATCTACTTCAACCATCATAAATAACAGATATGCCACATAAACTACTTTCTATAAGTCTAGATTTTTTATAAATAAAAATACTAAAGGACACCAATTCCACCTTTCATCAGGTCAAACAGAAATAGAACTAGTCAAACTACGAAAGTACTCCAAAAAAACCTAAGAGTCAGTTTTGTATCCCAGTGGATCTGCTCCTAGTGCTAAAACAATCTAGTGTTAAACAATCCTAGTGTTAAAACAATCTTTAAACACTTTCTAGTACTACTGCTCTCACAAAAACATGGTTTGACACGCAATCACCAGTCTTGCTTACAGATGAACTATAAAGGTGCATTTTTCACTAAGAATCTCAGTTCACAGTATTTGCTTCAAACCACAGCAATTAACTTCTCTTCACATATTTAGATTTCAGGTTTTCCCGCGTTCAGGTAGATGCCTTTATTCCTACTTACAATATTGCAGGAGTTAGAAATCTGTAATTCACATCATTTAACTACTTCATTTTTTAACCAATTTTCATACCAATCATACTGGCTTTTTCAATAGGTTTAATGCCTTCATTTTGCACAACAATGTTCAGACTGTCAAGCAAACGCAGTTGTGAGGGATAATTCAATAAGACTAACATGGAAATTATATTTTAGCGACTTTAAGAAAAATTCTACTACTGAAAAAGTCTGGGTTTTTTCCAAGTTAATTACATGTGAAATTATCTAGAAATATTACCTGTAATTGGAGCTTCAACTTCTATCATAGTTTTTTCCCTCCGTAATATTGCAGCACCCTCATTGATGATTCTAAGTGCAATTTCTTCATCCACTCGACCTTCTTTTATCAAGTGGTTCTTCAAAATGTCAACCCTTGGTCTTCCATCTGTGTCAAACACTTCTTCAGACGTTAAGCGATGCGTCGGTGGAAAAGGGACAGCTAAAATTTAAAAAGAAGAAACAGTAGTCACGACAATGCTATTTTAAAAACATAGTCCATCTAGGATTGGATCTATCATGGAATAGCTGCTATCCAAAGTAGCAAACTTTTTTTTTAATCACCCAAATTTATAACATCATTAAAATCTGGATAGAATAGTGCTATCTGTGTACATATTTTAAAAAATTAACGTCTATAATATGCAAGGTTGTAGAAACTATGATGCAGTTAGAAGGCATAATAATACGTGAAAAATTTGGAAGGGTCAAAACTGGCTTTGCAGAGGGAAATAATCTCTCTCCAATATACTGCCATTCTCTGAAGGACTCATCAAGTATTGGTGATGCAAGATATTCATTTAATATCCACTCAGACTTGCAAAAGCATTTAAAAATTATCCTATCATCAAAGCCTCAGGGGAGAAAAACAGCAAGAAACCTCAACCAAACAAAAAAACCACACCAAACCAAATCCAAACCCAGCAAGAAAAGTATACAACACCGTTTGAAAAACAAGAAATAAAAGGAGATAATAAGTGGTGGTTGGGGACCAAAGTAGGCTCAGCAACTGTCCAGAGAGAACATGTGATGGCCATGAATTCAAACAATGGCAGTTCAGTAACTGCACAAATGAAATATGGATGTTGGACATGGAAAAAGAGGATACTTTAAAACTGCCACTAAGCATTGTGTCAGAATACGATCTCACTCATGCAGGATTTTACAGGAAATAAAAGTAATCTGACCCTGTCCCCTCCTCAAGCCAACCACTGTTGAAAGAACAAACTAAATGAGGAGCAAACCCATTCTGTTTCTCTCCATTTAAATGTTAAAACAGGAAAATGGGAGAAGCACATCTATTCAAAGATAAGAACCAGTACTATGAATATACTTGTAGATTCTTGTATTCTTATTTATTTTCTTACTCTCCAAAGTTAAACTTTACATTCAAAAAATCAATGCTTAAATACTAAAACATTCACTGACTTCACTTAAATTGATTTGTAGATTACTAGTTACTAGTGACACATTGCTAGTCTTCTCTTTTATGGAATAATAAAAATCTATCAGTAAACCCACTGATGCATAATTCACATACATATATTCACTAAAATTAAATTAGACTAGAAAATAAAATGGAGAATTGTCAACTATTCTTTCTATAAAAGTTTCTAAATAGGAAGAGGCTGAAAAATGTGCCTTCGCTTTCCACAGTGTAGAGCAACTTTGGCACTTTATTTTCAGGCAGAAAGTGTTTTATTAACAAAAGAGAGATTGCATGTGTTTCCTTCAGTCTCCTCTAGTAGTGATCAAAGTTTCACTTGGAAATGTTAAAATTCTGGGTAGTCCAAATGTTAATAAACTTAACTGAGTTAGGAAATCAGAAGACAATTACTTCTGTTCCATGTAAAATTGTTTAAAAACCTAAATCTGGCTCTGAAAAGAGAAATTAACTGTTCTGACAAAATGAGTTTAATTTTTAGAAGCACTTCATTATGATCAGGCAAGCACCAACTCCACTATTCACCGTTTTTCTGAACTTGACTTTCCAACCATCATACTATCTCAATGTTACTTTTGCATTATTTCAAAGTTTATATTAATCTGTACCTAAATAAGCTTTAGGCCCTTTATTCCCCCACTTTTTTTAACATATTATTGTGAGCCCACAACTGCCTTCAGCAATGCAAAGTTGAGCTCATCCTTTTATGAGAGACCAGACAATTCACAAAGTAGATTTCTCCTGCTTTAATTGCTGCAAAAGCATTAGAGATCACACACACGTTCCCAGAACCTAAGTCAATCACCTCCAAGCTCTGTAAAAACTGTGCTTCATTAGTGCCAGTATTTCCTAGACAAGATCTACTTAAGTGAAAGATGACTTTTTTTCTTTTTTGGAGGTTTTTTGGGTAGAAGCAGGTGTGGTAGAAAATGGTCTGTTAAGGTGACCACCTGTTCTTCATTACTGATTTAGGACTACCAACGGCTGCAGATTCAGAAAGATGGTGTTGACCTCTTCCTTATGACAGTTCAGATTTTTCAAGAGTTATAAGTCCATGGTAAATGAAATTTGCTTCTCTTAATGAAGTTCTTATGTCTACTTAATGTATTTCAGATCAGATTAGAAAAAAAAATAATTCTATTTTAACAAACTATAGCTTTGAGTTTGTCTATCAAGTTACGTTTTAATCCAGCATCAAGATCTGTCTCACATTATTTGAACTAATAAACTTACAAGGATTTAAATTTGGTTATCCATAAGGCACAGACCCACAAATGTATTATGAGAAGTAATTAAGCACCTTTAAAGTTATATTTGCCTCAAGAAAAAACGAAGTCTTAAAAACTAGTTCCTCAGAGTTTAACAAAATCCTTTTCACACACTACATGTATTTTCCCATTGTTTGAGAATGACTTTTTGAGAATAATCTTCAGAAGGCAGAATAAAACATGGCTAGAGATTTTATCTGTACCACCCAGTGAATAAAAAGTAACATGTATTACAAAAACTATTTCTTTCCATTTTATACTTCAATTTTTGTCTCAGCAATTATTAACACTGTATCAGAATGCATACCTTTGAAAAATATTACTAACAACATTTTTTAATAGGTTAAAGATGATACTTTTTGAAGCATGTAGACAATTTTGGCAAACTAATGGGTTTAATTAAACCTTTGATGAAGTAGTCATAGAATGTTATAGCCTAAGGAAAAAGAATTGCAGCATGATGTGTTCCAAGACAGAAATATAATCCACGTTTCAAAGTCTGTGCATAACCTGTGCTCTGGGGACTGCAACAGAATGGTAATTAAGAGGAATTACCCTAAGGAAATAACATGGTGTTGGGCATTAAGGGATTCCCTTCTACCATTCCCAGAAAAGCTAAACAATAGAAAAGCATTTAGAGATGAATCTCTAAAGTAATACACACTGCAGTACAAAATAACAGACATATTCTACTAGTAAAAGTATAGATGTTAATGACAAACATAACACATCGTGATTTACAACAATGTACAAGATTTTTCTGAAACAAACAATTGCTTACTAATGAAAATTAATCAATTTCACTTTAGAAATACGTAGGTATGGATGATATGATTTTAACGATATTGATCCAAAAATTTAAACAGTAATTCTGGGGGAAAAATACAGTGTGTAGTTTTGGGAATTTGTTAATAAAATATTTTGATGTATTTATTACTATTTGTATAACCATTAACAAAGAGGGGGGAAAAAATCACCATTCCTTTATACTAAAGTATTACTAAGAGATATCAAAAGCAAAACCTCTGAACTTCTTCTACACTGACTTTCTACAAACCTCTGGGTACATTTACACCTTACAGTAAAGCATGCAGTGGAGATCCAAAGGTTAGCTCCAATTTGAATGGATACATTCCCAGTACATAGTAAAGAGGTTCAAAGTACAAAAACTACATTAGCATGGCACTTTATCCAATATAATAATCCTGCTGAGATGTGCAATATGGCAACTAACACAAGCACGCTACTTCCAGACCCAAAGCAGATCTCACATTGCCTAGTAACTGAGTACAACAGTAGCTGCTAATAAGATCTTACATGTAGATACTGTAAATTTAAACCATGCTGATACACATGCCCATTGTAATTACCTCAGTTAAATCTGGCTTGTATCACACACACACTGTCGGAACAGGCTCACGAAACAAGATGAGATCAAAGCCTCTGGACTAATGTAAGAAAAAGCATCAGGGATCAACTGCACAAGGTACTGTACTCCCACAAGCAAAGCTATTTCTGTTCTTAAGACTGTAAAACCTGAATAATTCTTGTTCTCTTACAGACAAAGAAAATTAGCCATTTTTCCTCAATAATCAGAAGCCTGTGACATGTTTCATGAACATGTTTTAGTTTTGGCTGTTATACCAAGCTCCATGTCCCAGATTGCATTTTCTGTTTTAAGAATGTTTTTGATTTCATAGATAAAGTCTCAGCTCACATTACTAGGGTTACTAAACACAGACACTCTCTTTGTAAAGAATTTGTTGCTTTGGTGATAGGTATAAATGAAACAGCATATATAATGATTGTCTCCACCAAGTGATATCATGTATCAATACAACCATGGTGTTCTGTGAAAAGAAAGGCCAGCATCCTTCATTTTGTCAGCAGGTTTATTATCATGATAGCAGATTTGTCCGTGGTTTTTCTGTGATTTAGTCATGTTTTGTGGGCCTTTGGTTTTATAAATGCATTGCTGTCTATGCACTGTCACTCAGAAGAATCACAAAGCCTAACACCTACCACTTCTTTCAGTCTGTCCCTGGTGTTTTCACACCTCTGCCAACATCTACAAAGAAGGAAAAGATGTAGCACCCATGACTGCTATGAGGACAGAATATATCCAATTATCCTTTTGCATTTGGCAGAACAGATTTGGGAAAAAAAAAAAAAGGCATAAAGACATCACAGATGGTCTGTGGACCAGCAACCTTGAAAATACTAGATAAGCACAAATACAAAGCAGTGTCTACTGGAATCAGAAAGCTCCAATCAATAGCTGACGAAAATCACGTTATCCTATTCATCCCAAACAAGAAAGCACAGATTCAGCTAAGTCAATTTCTTTACAAAAACTCTCCAGAAGTTTCTTTGAATGGAAGGTTCTTGCTATATTAGCAAGCATTCTAGAAGCAAGAAAAATGACCCTGTAAACCTTGAAACCCTACAACAGCACTGCAGGCACATTTATTTAATCCTCACTTATCATGTACTTCCAGTATTATAAATTTCACAGAATTTTAAATCTCAAATGAAACTATATATCTAGTATGCCAAGGTGCATTCGTTAATCTTTTATACTGTCTGTGTAGTTTTTCAATTAACTTGGTTGACATTTTTGGAAGTTCCTCTCAGGAAAATATAATTATTTGTTTGAAAAGTATTTAAAAGATACTCCTCCCATTAAAATGGTCACAGATTACTATGCCAAAAGATTACTTAGTGCTTAAA